GACGCCGACTTCTCGGCACACACCTCGTCTCTTCCTCCCTCAGCCTTACTAGTCCTCTACTTCCATGCGCCATGGGCAGCTCCCTGCGCGCAGATGCGCGCCGTTCTCTCCGCCCTCGCCTCCCAGCACCCCGCCACCACCCCGCCCACCATCTCCTTCGTGAGTATCAACGCCGAAGAACTCCCCGACATCTCCGAAGAGTACAACGTCACAGCAGTGCCATACGTCGTTCTCCTCCGCAACGGCCAGATCCTCGAATCCGTTAGCGGCAGCGACGCTGTCAAGGTGCGCGATGCGGTCGAGCGGCACGCGGGCGCTGGATCTGGCGCGGGCGCAGACGGTGCGAACAAGACCGCTATCCCTCCCCCTTTGACGGCTACGCCCCGTGAGAATGCCCCTGCGTCTGCTACGCAACCGCCTGCTCCCTCGACGCAGGCATTGACGCCCGAACAGTCCAAGGAGGCGCTATTTGCACGGTTGGCGGAGCTGGTGAAGGCTGCGCCGGTTATGCTCTTCATGAAGGGGACGCCTAGTGCGCCACAGTGCGGGTTCAGTCGTCAGTTGGTTGCGATCCTGCGGGAGCGGAGCGTCAAATACGGGTTCTTCAATATCCTAGCCGATGAGGACGTCAGACAGGGGTTGAAGGAGTTTGCGGACTGGCCCACATTTCCCCAGTTGTGGGTTGAGGGGGAGCTCGTTGGTGGATTAGATATCGTATGTTCTTCTATTATCGCTTTCGTAACTGGAAAGTCATTGCTAACTGATCTATTTCTGATACAGGTCAAGGAAGAGATCGACAACGACCCCGATTTCCTGAGCCAGTTCTCCGTTAACAAGGCTCCTGCTACCGCTTGAAGATACGACGGGTGCTCTTGGTACACGATACAAACTTCCTTGAAGACAATTTATACTCCCATGTATTCCCTCTTCGTTAGACTTTTGAGATTTAGCAATGATGAATATAATGCGTTTCCGTGTTGAAATACATTTACACATGAACAGTTATATGCTTTGCCTCGACCGTGCATGCGCCGCGGAATTTAGCATGCGCAGGTATCGGAAGGATGAATATTGTCTGATGCCCGCTACAGTACACAGAGCTCTTACACTTATATAGCAGCAAATTCACAAGTTCAAGATGGATACCTCTTCTTGTTGAAAACCACATCGCTCAATTTGCGTCCGCAATATAAGAAAGATTCTGGTTTACTCTGTTCCGTTATCTTCGGCGGTAGCTTGTCCCCCTGAGGCCGCTTTGGGCGCATTTCTGGACCGCTGAACACGGGTTTCATGCCAGAAATGGGGATTGGCGTTACGTGATGTTTTGAAGGTGGAAAGAACGGCATCCTCGTCGACGTAGGCGCCGGCCAACCACCGCTTACCCTGTTCGGTGTTGAACTTGTTACGGGCGTGGAGGACTCGGCGATTCTCGAAGATGACACATTCGCCCGGGTTCAACTTAAGCTGGAAGACGTTGTAACCGCGTTCGATTTCAGTCGCGAACATCGCGAGAGCTCGCCTGTACTCATTCCAGTGCGTGTGGATGTCTTCATCCGAGATAATGGGCGCTTGGAAAGGGGGCGAGTAGTTGACGTGGACGATTTTTTTCGTCGGGTCACCGTCTTCCATCTCCAATACAGGCCAGCTGTTGTTGTAGACGTGTTCCTTGTGGTTGTATTCGTAGTTCAGGTGCAGCTTGCTCAGATGTTCGAAGGCTTCTGGGGATCTCCAACGCAATAGATCCGCAGCTCGGAAGCTGTCCACGAAGAGGGACTCGCCTCCGTCGCATGAGTTCTCGAGGCAGTGTAGCAGCTGAAAGCCCGGGGGCTCGTTCATGTACATGAGGTCCATGTGGAATCCGAGGGAGACATTGGTGTAGGCGACGTTCTTCGCCTGGGGGACGCTGCGGACATCCCATGTCGGTCCGTAGAAGGTGTTTCGCAGGGGTCCCATGCGGGTTGCAATCTTCTCAACCATTTCCCGCGAGTCGGGGATATCCTTAACGAAGATGATGCCCATCAGAGCTAGATGGCGCATAGACCTGATGAATGCTTTTTCGTCGTTCATGTAATCCTCGTACGAGATCCAGTGCTGAATCTCTTGCATGGTCTGCTTGTCCCAGAAAAAACGACGCCTCAGCTTGCCCGTATCCGATTTGGGAGGGTTGGCCCTCTGGTCTTTAAGCATTGCCAGATTATATTTGGAGACATGGTCCGGGCCCCATCCCTCGATATCAGACGACCACTTTATCTGCAGCTCCTTGCCGTCCCATTTGATGTCCCGAGGAACAATCATGGGAGGAATGTCCGTAGTGCGAAACTTGCGTTGTTTCGAATGTTCGTCTACGCAGAGGTTGCATTTACAGGCGTCGCGCAGGAGCATGTACCTGAAGCCCCGACTCTCTCCGTCAATCATGACAGTCAATCTGGCTTTCACTAGCCTGACCCCTTCCGGGGCAGGCTTTCCCATATATTCTTGAGCAAAGTCATGATAAATATGTTTTGTGATCGCTTCGTTCGGGGCAGGGTAGTCTGTCTTTGGCACCTGTGCTTGTTCCGTAGATGGGGTTGAGTAGCTCCTTCGAGCGAGGAACGGGCGTAGAGGGATGCTCCGCCATGGTAGCCGGACGAGAGGTGTTAGAACCCGGCTCATGGTGCGTCAGCGGTTCTTCGATGACCCGCGATCTTGAGCAAGGTATGGAGGAACGGGAGAAGACGTTGATGTTTATGGAGTATATGTCATGCAATCAATCAAACGCGGAGTCGCGTGTTGTCTAATTTCCACGCCGAGGTTACAGGCCGTATCTGGGTTAGTGGATTGCCGCCTTAGCACACAGGTTGAGAGACTTGACAGACAGATGGCGATGCCTCTGCCTTCGTACGTCATATCTGGATGACCTGAACGAGCAAGCAGGATGATATTGATACGATACTGATGCTCTGCTAGCTCTGCTATGGAGAACTGAGGCCGAGATTGATCCCATGATGTTATTCATGGTCAACACCTCAATCTGCCCGCCCGGTCAGCTGTGAGAGTCGCTACTGCATACGCCACGATAGATTCCTGCCATGGGTGGTATAGTTATACCCAGCACGAGGCATTGAGCAAGAATGTCTATCTTCACAATCGAGGCATTCCAGAATTCCAGACAGTATCTCTGAGGAAAGGTAGCAACAGTATCTAGCATAGCAGCAGTGACGGAAATGCCCCATAGGTAGCGTTCCATTTACGTATTGTTTACCCAACAAGAATCAATCCTGTCTCCATCAACCCAGATCCTGATTTATCCACAGCTTTCATCAGCGGAGTGCACGTCCTTAAACCCATCCTAAAAAATCTTTTTATCCATTGCCGCAACACTACAAAGTCGCCGCTAAGATCATCCATCTCATCTCATGAAAGCGTCCTGGTCACCAAGTCCGCGCTGACGTTGCCGAAAACCCCCGACACCGACAGTCCAGCCTAGCCCAAGCCCAAGCCCGTTGCTTCACGTATCACATGCATGTCGGCCGGGGGCGAACACCTCAAGGATGAGGTACGTCCAGCCTCAAAATCCCGCAGTCTCTTAACGTCGACCGTTCGCGCCTTGAATCCAAGTACTGACACGAGAAAAGGGCACGCGACGTCAAGTCGTTCTCTCAGGTGGAATCGCCGGGCTGGTCTCGCGGTGAGTCCAGCCTATCTGCTCAGCAGCCCTGAATCGAAATCGCAGCAGCTAATCCACTACCCTTGTTAAACAGATTCTGTGTCGCCCCTCTCGACGTCGTCAAGATCCGCCTCCAGCTCCAGGTCCACTCCCTCTCCGACCCGGCCTCCCACCGCGATGTGATCGGTCCGATATACAAGGGGACCCTCTCCACCATGAGGGCGATCCTCAAGCAAGAGGGGATAACAGTGCGCTTTCCCTACCCCCAGCTCCATCATCGCCGTCCGAACCATCAAGAAACCAAGCTAATGGATCCTGACAACAGGGCCTCTGGAAAGGCAACATCCCCGCCGAACTCATGTACGTCTGCTACGGCGCCCTGCAGTTCACAGCCTACCGCACCACAACCCAACTCCTCGCACAACTCGACCCGCACCGTCTCCCGCCCGCGCTGGAATCCTTCGTCTCGGGCGCTGTAGCCGGCGGCCTAGCTACGGCGTCGACGTACCCACTTGACCTGCTGCGAACGCGCTTCGCGGCCCAGGGCACTGAGCGCATCTACACCTCGCTCCTGGGGTCGGTGCAGGACATTGCGCGGAATGAAGGGCCGGCAGGGTTCTTCCGGGGCTGCAGTGCGGCGATCGGTCAGATCGTCCCGTACATGGGGCTGTTTTTTGCGACCTATGAATCGTTGCGGCCGGTGCTGTCCGGGCAGGAGAACATGCCGTTCGGGTCCGGTGATGCCGCTGCGGGAGTCATTGCCAGTGTTCTGGCCAAGACTGGGGTGTTTCCGCTTGACCTCGTGCGAAAGCGACTCCAGGTCCAGGGCCCAACACGCACACTGTATGTGCATCGCAATATCCCCGAATACCGCGGCGTATTTAGCACCATCGCTATGATAGTGCGCACCCAGGGAGTCCGGGGCCTCTATCGGGGACTGACGGTGAGTTTGATCAAGGCCGCGCCAGCAAGTGCCATCACCATGTGGACTTACGAGCGATCTTTAAAACTCCTCCACGATTTCCGCGTGGCTGAATGACTTGATGTAGCAACCCATCTGTAATATTATCTATTTGTACAATAGTTCTTGTTTAAGCCTGTACTATCCTCAGGAACATAGACGGAAAGTGGCATACTGGATTATTTCTAATACTTCGCGATATCTGCCTATTTCTTTTTTACAGGTAAAAGTTCAAAGACTGAAGATCAACGCTAGAAAAAGCATTAACAAGAGGGGTTGTCGCAAGCGGAATGATGGAATACAGTCAGCGCTGGGCAGGAGAAACAGAGATACATGAAGCATGAAGCGGATTCATCGGATGATGGCGAGCGGAACAAAAGCAAGAAATGGCGATTAGTATTCGACCCCTTCTTCCTCGGGCTCCATACCATCATTGGCCACCTCCTCATAGTCCTTCTCCAATGCGGCCAGGTCCTCACGAGCCTCGGAGAACTCGCCCTCCTCCATACCTTCACCCACGTACCAGTGCACAAAGGCACGCTTCGAGTACATGAGGTCGAACTTGTGGTCGAGACGACCCCACGCCTCGGCAATAGAAGTGGTATTGGACAGCATGCTGACAGAGCGCTCGACAGGAGCCAACTCGCTGCCGGGAACACGCACTGGCTTCTGGTAGTTGATACCGAGCTTGAAGCCGGTGGGGCACCATTCGACCAGGTTGAAGGATGCCTTTGCTTTGAGGGCGGCAACAGCTTGAGTGCAGTCGCGGGGGACGACGTCACCACGGTACAAAAGGGCAACGGCCATGTACTTGCCGTTACGAGGATCGCAGACGACCATCTGGTTGTTGGGCTCAAAGCCTACAGCATAAGTCAGTTATGATGATGTGTCTCGCATTTTCCAGTGAAGAGAAGAGAACGATAAGATGCACATACACTGGAAAGTAAGATCCTGCACCTTGAAACTCTCATGGGAACTGCGGTTGCTCGAAACTACGGGCGCGTAAGAGATCAGGGGATAGTGGATACGAGGGAACGGCACCAGATTTGTCTGGAACTCAGTCAAGTCGACATTGAGTGCGCCATCGAATCGGAGACTCGAGGTGATAGAGCTGACCACCTGAGCGATCAGACGGTTCAGGTGCTCGTAACCAGGGCGGGGAATGTCCAAGTTGCGACGGCAAATGTCGTAGACAGCTTCGTTGTCAACCAAAAAGGTGCAGTCCGAGTTCTCAATAGTGCTGTGGGTGGACAAGACGGCATTGTAGGGCTCAACGACGGCAGTCGACACGCGGGGCGAGGGATAGATGGAAAACTCCAGCTTGGATTTCTTGCCATATTCGGCCGAAAGACGCTCCAGGAGCAATGCACCAAAGCCAGAACCGGTACCACCGCCAAAGGAGTGGAAGATCAAGAACCCCTGCAACGAGTTGCAGTTGTCTGTTCAAAGTCAATGAGAAATTCATTCCGGTTAGCGGCGTGCGATGGAGCCTACCGGCAACGCGACGAACTCGATCAACGACGCTATCCACGAGTTCCTTGCCAACGGTATAATGACCGCGAGCATCTGCCACGTATTAGCCCTTACTCTTCCTGCGAAGACAACCTTCGGCTCACAGTTATTGGCGGCATCTTCCTTTCCGCTGATCAAGAGCTCGGGGTGGAAGAGCTGGCGGTAAGTGCCAGTGCGGATCTCGTCAATAGGCTACTACAGTCAGCGTAGATGCTCATCTTCCATCTGATCCTGGACTCAGATCTAAGTGCGACGCACGGATGGATCAAGATCGACGAAGATAGAGCGAGGTACGTATTTGCCGCTGTTCGTCTCGGTAAAGAAGGTTTCGAAAGAGCCTCCGTTGTTGTGCGATTCAGGCACCTCGGGATCGAGACGACCGTCAGCCTTGAGACCATGCTCTAGGAGGTACCTGAACGGCAAGCAAGTCTATTAGCCCAAACAATTGCATCCAAAGACCATCACAAGCGATAGTGTCAGCAGAACAAAAAGCGGTGAGTCCTCACAGTTCCCAGGCACTGTTACCGAGCTGAGTACCAGCCTGGCCAATATGGATATGGCAAACCTAGAATAACGCGATAAGATACGTCAGAATCTCCATGTAGTAAAGAAGCCCGTTGTCAATGTTTTGGAAAGTTGACACGGATCCGACCATCCCAAACTGTGGTTCAGGAGGGGCGAACGTGCGGGGGACAAGGTGTAAATAAACCAGATGGGCATACCTCGCCTCGCATGATGATGGTTCAACGCAGACCTGAGGGGAGAAGAGAAGACGACCCCTGATAGCGGTTTTGAGACAGATTAGATCTAGCAGAAAGAAGATGGCAGAGTACTGATGAAGAGGAGGACAGGAGTAAGAAAGAAGAAGACAGTCTGGAAGGCGGTCGGTCGTTCAAGAAGGTGCACTGGTGCCCTGATGGTTTGCGCCTACCCGTTGCGGGTGGACACTGTCAACAATCAACATCACCATGAGTAGCCAATCAGCGCTTGTCTTTGCTGTTAACTGGTTTGCGCGCGGATCCTACTAAGCCCAGAGCTTTGTTTGTTTATCGAGTCACAACGCCTCATATGAGACACCCCATGGATGCATCAGGCAACATCTGAACTTATAGATAGAGTTTGTCATGGTGTGTCTGAACGTTTCACCGTACCTTCTTACCACGTGCTGATTTCCCAATGGAATGTGGGCTCAGTAGAATATTACACAGCAAGGACCAAACCTTACTAAAGCATCCCTGGACTTCAACAAGGTGTGAAGAAGGAGTTCATAGCATTACCGACTTAAGGGTCCGGCCCATGGCCAAAGAGGTCTTCCGGGTAGTTCTTGGATCTGTAAGAGTCCCTCCTAATCCCAGAGACCGAAGAAGCCTCCAGTTCTTGCGCATCACTTCCTTCTCGGGATACAGGATAGTCGCTGATTCAAAGCGAAGGTCGTATGGAGAGCGTAGGCCAGATTTATTGCTTTATCATTTCTTCCAAGCAGGGTGTACTCCAAGTCATCTGTCCAACATGTGATGAACTACTCCGTACGATAATGACAACCAAACAATTCGAGCCAACTACCTTAGCTGTACAGCATAGTATATGGAGTACCGACCGACCACCGTAGATACTCTTGTAGACAAATATCTGTAGATCCTCGGAAGGCGGGGTGAGCCACGTCAATGCAATGATGTCAAAGGCTCCGGAAAGGAGATTTTGGACCTGCTCATTCGTTGCAATTTACCAGGTATAATTCTGAAGCAAAAGAAATATGGTTATGATACATAGAAAATGTCTGGACAGCGCTTCGGCAAGCAGCCTAATAAAATGTCTGGAATGTTGTACAATCATATATTAAGATATTAAGGCCTTCCATGTTATGAGTTAAGAGCCCATAGTAGTAATACTTGTGAAGCGTGCAGCCCTGCATTAAAACAAACTTTTTTGTGGCTTTTCTTAGGGGTGGAGTAATCCGCTTGTCCTTGGCAGTTTTTAAATAACTATGGACAGAGTACTCCGTAGCTGATGGGCATATCTTATAACATTCATTGTAGGTATAGGCATTTGTTACTGAAGATATACGGAGCACTTAGGTTCTTGTACTCTATAAACTAAAACACCTTGAGCTTTATGCTAGAATTCCTAACACGTTATCTATTGGCGAGAATTTATTATGAAAATGGGGCCTGGCATCGTCATTTCCCACCTCTCCAGTGCAGTCTTTTCTAACAGCCCCACCAAGCGTCTCGAATGGGAGACCACAAGTGCCTGAGGTGGCGTCAATGGCGTTGCTTGGCGGTGGCCACATCTTCATTGCATGGACGCAATTGAAGGTAGAGATTCCGTACCTAAAAGGCCCTTACATGATGTTGATCCCCAGAGAAATTGCACAGCTATCAGTGCATAATTTTAGTTATGAGAAAATATGGAGATAATCCTCTCTCTGGCAGTGTACGATGAGAGAAACTGACACAGGACGAAGTATATTGGTTATTTTAGTCTACAATCATTGTTTCCCAAGAGGGCGAGGACCCATCGCCATGCACTATGGGTCCATGAATCCATTGTCTTTTATGGGTCCAGGGACCACTCACCCAAAATAAGTCCCACCACGGGCTGATATAGAGACAGAACACACAGATCTCTTCATGTATCGAATCAGATCATTCTTGCGGAGGCAAGCACCAACCTTGGAATCAACCGAGAAAAGGCCTGGACTTGAAAATCTCTGACTCGAGCTCCTCGTCTCTGGGTCCTCCCGCCCGATCGCCGTTTCTCCTCAATTCCGGCGCTTGTCAAGTAGATTACGAAGCTCCTTCTCGCTCTTTTTCTTTATCTACATACAATGCTGGCTGGTTGGCGACTTGTTTAAACTCCTCTCTCCTATTCCTGTCTGCGATCCGCTCTCTTTTCTTGCCGGTTGTCGTTCTTTGGCAGGCATATCTCATCTTATCTCTTTCTGCACTTTCAATTATACCCAGTTCTCTTCAAGCGGTGCTCTCTATCCTCAGGCCTACCTGCATACGTCTTGCTTGAATTAATTCCCCGTCTCTCAAGGGACTGCCCCTTTTGGTTTCCCGACTGCTCTTGGTTGGTCTCATCACTCTCCTTTGCTTTCTGCTCTTTCATCGTCCTTTCTCTTCTGTTCATTCTTAAATCCGCTCCTCGCTCATTTATACGGTCACTCATTGATCCCTGACCATCTACCACTGCTTATGCTCTATAATCCATGATTCTAACTTTATTTTCAGCTTAACTGAATCTATTTTCCAAGCTCTTCCCCGTATTTATATCTAGCCTGGTGCTAGTATGTCCACTCCCGTTGAGGAGCACCCTGCTCCCAGCTATATAGAAGAGAAAAGAAAAGAAAGGGTGGATGATGTTGACGTCTCCGCGTCCGATGACGGCACATATGTCCATGATGGCTTTGCCGCCAGTAACAACAATCACCTCAGGGTTGACACCTCCTATGATGACAACCAGAGATTACCCTTGCGCTCACCTTCGGCCGCGCGAGAACGATCCCTGCGTCTAGAGGATGACCTGGCTTTGCTCGAGGCGGAGCGGGTCGCATCTCGTTCGACCCATGACGAGACGGAAAAGGGAAGCAAGGCCGAGTCCATCTCGCGAGTTCGTTCGCATCGCTCTCGCAATGTCGACGAATTCGACGAAGCCACAAATCCACTGCACGAGAAGGCAGCCGTCTACAACCCGCCTGAAAATCCAAATACGAAGATTTCCAAGTTCATTAAGAAGGTTCATGAGTCGAGCTTCATCATTCGCTATATCACCTATATCGTCCCACTTGTTCTGATACTTCTCATTCCCTTGCTTGTTGGGGCTTTGGCCTTTCCTGATGCCAATGTTGGAGGCGTTTCTCTGCTTTGGTTCTCCGTCTGGCTGGAGATTGTCTGGTTGACACTTTGGGCTGGTAGAGTACGTATCTTTCTTACAACTCTTTTGGAAAAATCATTGACTCGAGCTAGATTGTGGCTAAATTCATTCCCATCCCTGTGGGATTGCTTGCGAGTATCTTCACAAACAATGCGAAAAAATGGCGTGACTTGGCTAAGCAGTTGGAGCTTCATGGGACACTCTTCTTCTGGTGGTTGGGTGTTGAAATTTCGTTCTTGCCTACCATGAAGAATCACCACGTTGATGGGAATTCCGCCACCCGCAGCTGGGAAAACTCTGTCAACAAGATCATCATCTCCATTTTCGTCTGGACCATCTTGAACCTTATCGAAAAGGTTATCATTCAACTCATCGCCATCAGCTTCCATCTGCGTACCTACGCCGATCGAATTGAAATCAACAAGTTTCAGATTGGCAGCCTTACCAAGCTGTATGACTTTTCCAAAGCAAAGATCGAGGCTGATGATGACGAATTCGAGGAGAAGAATGATCAGAGTGGCAGCGGCACCAAGACGCCGTTGCGCGTTCCCCTGCAATATGCCGGAAAGGCGCAGCGTATGGCCAAGGGCGCCCTGAACAGAGTCACGGACGTGGCGGGTGCAGTCGCGGCTGATTTCACCGGCCGCAAGGCCACGAGCAGCAGCCACCCCTACCAGGTTGTTTTGACTTTGCTGCGCACGACTACCGGCTGTCAGGTTCTGGCGAGACGGCTCTACCGCACTTTTGTGCGAGATGGGTTTGAAACCGTATTTTCTGGGGATTTGAAAGAGGCATTCGACAACAACGAGGAAGCCGAGGCCGCATTCACCATGTTCGACAAGGATATGAATGGCGATATCTCCATGGAAGAGCTAGAAGCAGTCTGCGTGGAGATCGGACGGGAGCGTAAATCAATCACCGCATCATTGAAAGATCTCGATTCGGTCGTATCGAGACTCGACAATGTGCTGGAGTTCTTCGTCATCGTCATCGCACTCATTGTCTTCTTGTCGCTGATTTCCACGTCGGCCGCTGGTGTTCTTACCTCTGCAGGCTCCAGTGTCCTTGCATTGTCCTGGCTGTTCTCCGCCACTGCTCAGGAGTTTCTCCAATCAGTTATTTTCGTTTTCGTCAAGCACCCCTTCGACGTGGGAGACCGTGTCACAATCTACGGTAACGCCGGAGACTCTGGTCTTGGTGATGACTACTTTGTCAAGCAGATTTCCCTCCTGTATACTGAATTCAAGAAGATGCAGGGCCACGTCGTCCAGGCGCCCAACAGTTATCTCAATTCTCTCTTCATCCTGAACCAACGTCGCTCGGGAGCTCTCGCCGAAGCCGTCCCCATCGTGATCAAATACGGCACGACGCTCGAACAGATTGACGCGCTGCGCCAACGCCTGCTGGAGTTTGTCCGCAGCGAAAAGCGCGAGTTCCAGACCAACATCCTCACCGAAATGCGCCAGGTCACCGAAAACTTCTCCGTGACTCTCAACGTCGTCTTTTTCTACAAATCCAACTGGCAGAATGAAGGCCTACGTCTGCAACGCCGCAACAAGTTTATCTGCATGCTCATGATCGCCCTGCAGGAAATCGGCATCGAGGGCCCACGCATGAACCTCCAGGGTGCGAGCGTCGACTACCCCGTTCACGTTCGCTACAACGGCCACAACCAGCAATTCGCTCCCCCACCCGGCACCAGCGACGGCCGGCCCCCAGCTACACCTCTCAGCGAAAAGGAGTACCACGACCAGCCAGCCACTGGCACCGGCACCGGCACCGCCATTCGCCACCCCTCGATCCTCCGCAAAGGGATGAACACCGCTGCCGCGCGCGCTCGTGGCGAATCCATCTCCCG